TGGGTATCCATCCCTGATCAGCCCCGGGCAGACGGACTCGCTCTCGGTGCCTGCCCCCCAGTCTGCAAGGCAGAGATAGGGGGGCAGCGCCGGCCTGACAGGGGCGCAGCGAGGGGTCCGGACTTCGAGCTCCGAGAGCAGCAACAGCACACCGTATGCCCTACGGGTCGGCGATTCCAACTTTTTGGCCTCATGTAACTTCTCATCTCACCCTCTCATTTGTATTTCTGATCCATAAAAATGCAGATCCCAACACCAGTTCTCCTACTTTCATCTAATTATCTACATCCCCTGCTCAACATCGCCGTAATTAAACAGTAAGCCAGCTGATGCTGCAGGGACACGCACAGACACAGGCTGTGAGGAGGTAAAAGTGAGCAGACTTGAACTTGTAACCGCGGTGCCTGGGAAGTGACGGCAGTGTGTTTCATGAGACATCAGCTGAGGAGGGAAGAGGCACGGACACTGAGAAGGACTCCCAAATTCATATGGGAGTAAAATTTACATGGTACCCTGGTGTTTACAACACAGTTTTGTGTACATTATTTCATCCAACCTCCAGGAGTCCCTGTAGGCAAGTGCTACTACCCTTGTAGGGCTTGGAGAGGACCAAGAGCCAGCGTGGACGGCAGTTGAGCCCCATCCGCCCAGTCTCTGGGGTGAGGACCCAAATGAAAACCATGAGAGAATCATCACATAAACACTAAATGACTTTCAGGAGACAAGAAAGAAGTGACATAAAGGGGGACGCCTGGGTGGCTCAGTCGGTTAGGCGTCTGCCTTCGGCTTGGGTCATGGTCCCGGGGTCCTGGGATCAAGTCCCGCATCGGGTTCCCTGCTCAGCGGGGAGTCTGCTTCTCCCTTTGCCCCTCCCCCTGCTCGTGCTCTCTCTCTTTCTCAAATAAATAAATAAAATTAAAAAAAAAGAAGTGACATAAAGGTTTTCCTCAATACTTAATAAAGCTTCGTGTATCTATACTTGTAAAAACTATGTTCATTGGAGCTTATTTCCTACTGCATGAATAAAAATTTTCCCATAATATTTAGAAATATACAGAAAAAGTATTCTAATTAAGGTATAATATTTTTAAAAATATCTATTTATTTGAGAGAGAGAGGGAGGGAGGGAGGGAGAGCATGAGCGGGGGCTCAGCAGGGAGCCCCATGTGGGGCTCGATTCCAGGACCCGCCACCCAGGTGCCCCGAGGTATAATTTTTTTCTAATTAGAACTTCCCCAGTAGAGCCCTAGAGTGTGTATATGCCAGGGTAATAGGAGTCTTTCAAGTATTCATACTTGTCACAGGACCAGTCTCTGGAGAAACTAAGTTCCATTTGCTCTGTGCCTGGGGAGCAGGCGAGATGGAGACAGGAGAGAAGAGCAGAGAACGTGCATGTGCTGAACTGGGACAACCTCCACCCTGGCACCTCACCCGGCTCCCACATGCTGCCTTATAACCCGCCCCCTTTCCCTCTGGGAGGAAAAAGATGAAATAAATCCAGGAGTAGAAAACTGGGTAGATAAACCATTGTACAGTCACAGCAATGGATGTTATGTAGCATTTTTAAAACATTACAGAAGTGTATATACTGACATATAAAGATGTTTATGATTAAAGGCAGGATATAAAAGAAAACAATATATACAAATGACCTCACCTAAAAATATCCAAAGGCACAAACATATTCCAACACAATGACATTATAAAAAGGAAGATTTTGAGGAAAATATCCAAATTGTTAAATGCATCTGGACAGGTGAGCCTATGGAGTTTTCTTCCTTCTTTTGGGTTACCTGTAATTTTCCCCTCCAAATAAGTTTTCTTTTCATATAAGAAAATATTAAACAGGAAAAAGTAACCTAGCACCATATTAAATGGTTAAACAGAACATCAAATGTTATCCTTAACTTCACAATTTATTACGGTATACCACCCACTGTAGAAACGGAATTTAAATAAGTCTATAATCAGGCTGTCCTGTCTCTCCTCTGCCCAATGGACATCGTCCAGAGAAGACAAAGACCCTGATGACAAGACCAGATGAACCACAAAGTGCATGCCCAGGTGGGCTCTGATCACTATTCACCTTATAATGAAAGACACCACGAAATAGGAAGCACAAGGGACACTACCTGCTGCCGAGCTCTCTAACATGAGGCCGCATTAAGGCCCAAACGTAAGACTCGTGATCACAAGAGTTCAAGAGTTCATTCACACACCCCCCCGCCCCCTGCAGCTTCTGCCCCCACCTGCAGCCGATCCATGCTAGCAGCCTAGAGTGAGCTGAGGCCCTGCATGGTCAACAATCATCCCAGGTGACTCGAGGGAACTGTGATACTCCTACAACGCTCTGAGAAGACAGGCCTGCGGCATATAAATGCACAATCTAGCAACTATGGAAATGTTTTTTAATTGGGCTATCAAATATGAGTATTGAATGATAGTCCACTCTGTATGGAGATAATATTTAATACTAATCACACTCAACCACCAAGTACTTACGATACTCTAAGTTATGGAATTTTATACCTAACTCAACTTACATCATAAATTTAAAGTGCATCTTAATATACACCAGATTAAAGTAGAGCAGAATAGCAATCAATTTATATAATAACGAGAGTGGGGATTCTCAAGCTACAGGTCCCGGCCTCACGATTAAAATCAACTTGTAAATACCAAAAACCAGTTGTCGCCTCTCGTGTGCACAGTATACTGGTGAAATCTCTCAGCAGCGGTGATGTACATGCATTTGTGGAGCTGGCAGACCCCGCCAGGGCGGCTTCCACGGAGGCTGTACAGCACTGCACCCCTAACAGCAAAGTACGGACGTGACTTTTGTACTTGAATTTCACCCACGGGCCTGTTACCAAACCCGAAACTGGGATTTTTGCCAATCTGATAGTAAAACATGATATCTTGCTAAAAATTTTAATTTGCATTTTTCTTATTATGAGTGAGATGGAGCATTTTTTTCTGTGAGCTACTACTGAGTTATTGATCATCTTCTCATCAATTTGTAGAAGCACTTTATATGTCAAGGAAATCCGGCTTTTTTTTCTGTGATCTAAGTTGCAAATATCTTCCCAGTTTGTCTTCGGTCTTTTGATTTTACTCTGGTGTATTTTTCCTTGTGGAAACATTCACCCTTAATTGATTGAAATGACAGATTTATTTTCCACATGGCTTCTGGGTGTGATAGTTAGAAAAGCCAACCTTCTCCAAGAGAGACAGTTTGTAAGGACAACACAAAGCCACTGTCAGCTAATGTGTATGCAGTAGAGAAAGCAGAGCAGTGGGGCGGGCGGGGCTGGGTTGGAATCTAGACAATGCAAGTCTAAAATGGTTTTCTTCCTCAAGGCTTCTCACCCTGTTGCCGGAAGGTAAAGAATTACCATATGCTGAGCGCTAACCTTGTGGCTTAAGCACTTAGTACCACCAGGAGTGCCAAAGCAAGAGAAAGCAAATGAGCTAGGGAAGAGGAATGTTGTGGGAACAGCAAAGCTGGGGGAGGGCAACAGAGGGGAGGGGTTTCACCTGGAAAGGAGGCCTGGCCTACACACAGCCTTCCATTCCAGAAGGCAAGGGAGTGAAAGAGAGGGACAGCTAGGATACGGAGTCCTCAGAGGGCAGGCTTAAGAGGGTGGGACTTGGCCTGTGAGCACTGCCGAAGCCAGGAGCTCTTATGACCAGGACGTGGCATAATGAAAGCATTTTGCAAAGGTAATTATGGGAATTATATCTGTTTCTCATAAACAATTAAAACATGTTCAATAAATCTCATTTTTTAAACAACGATAAACTAGTGATAATACTGTTGAACAACCAAATGCATGTGTTTTCAAATGTAAAAATAGGTCAATGACTTCTTTGATGGTTAAAAAAAAGGAAGAAAAAATATTAACACATTGCCTTTTTTGATAACAAGGGAAGGATTTCTAGAGTAAGAATGTAGACTTAATTTTGCACACATGATACACAAACAATTAAGAAAAGTGGTTACCTCTGGGCAGGGAAAGTTGGACCCCGAGGGGAGGGGGACGTGGTGGAAAACAAGCCATTTCACTGTACACTTTATAGAGTTGTGGTTTTTAAACTGTTTGATGTATAATATATTCCAAAAAATTCCATTTAAAGTGAAAAAAATCTTCAGCTTCCAACGTGACAACTGCTCTGTGTCAAAGGCAATTGTGAGAGTAATCAGTCTTACTACTTCAGATTTGTTTTTCTTTTTAAAGATTTTTATTTATTTGACAGAGAGAGACACAGCGAGAGAGGGAACATAAGCAGGGGGAGTGGGAGAGGGAGAAGCAGGCTTCCCGCAGGGCAGGGAGCCCGACGCGGGGCTCGATCCCAGGACCCTGGGATCATAACCTGAGCAGAAGGCAGATGCTTAACGACTGAGCTACCCAGGTGCCCCACTACTTCAGATTTGTATTTCCAGCCACTATGACTGGTTTTCACCCCATTCACCCCCCCATTAGTGCTTCATCCCTTGGTCCTCTCTCCCAACTTCCTGCTCCGGGGAGGTACTCTGTCTGTCTTCTGGACAATATTCTGAACACCAGCATTCAAGAGGTCCCACTGACACACACACTCTGACAGGCCTGGTATTTCGACCTTCAACAGCCACCGATGTGACATAAAAAGCTCATGTTCTACCTCTCAATCACAGCTCGAATGGACATTTCAGAAAGGTGATGGCACTTCCTTGTTGGTCTAATCCCGTATTTAAATTTCTCTATCCGTCAAGAGTGTCTTTGGTCATGTTTAACTAAAATATTCTGCTCACTTAAAATTCTATTTTTTCTTGTTATAGCTGACATACGCAGAGGCAATAGCTAAAAAGTCTTTATAGGGGCGCCTGGGTGGCTCAGTCAGTTAAGCGTCCGGCTCTTGATCTCAGCTCAGGTCTCAATCTCAGGGTCGTGGGTTCAGGCCCTTTGTTGGGCTCCACGCTGGGCATGGAACAAAACAAAACAAAACAAAAACCCAGCACAGGTTTGAAAAAACAAAGAGTCGTATTTAACTGTTTCTTCTTGCCAAAGATACTAAATTTCACAAGTATTATATAAAAGTCCATATAAAGGTGAATGCTGGCCATCAGTATACCTCAGTACCACTAGGTTAGCGCTCTCCTCCACATTCCCTTCCTTTGATTTATGTAGCCTTCCAATCTTATGTGTGAAGTCTGGGTAGAAAGAAGCTGAGTTAATGATTATTGGGCAAGTCCAAAGGACTAATATGGCAACAAGGAAGTACCAAAATTAGCAGGACTCATGAAATTCAAACGGTTATGGATTAATAAAAAAATACCTGGAAAATAGATAAAGTATCTACCTAGAAAATATATCAAGTAAATGTTATGAAGTACACGTACCCATTAAAGAGAATAATTACACACTCACAAATATATGACATAATTGAAAATATAAACTCACCAGCCATGGACGGTGCTTCTTTCCGCTGCCCTTTATCATCAATAGTCCCTTCAAAAGCCACTGTCACATCGTAAATTGCATCTAAATAATTCTTCATAGAATCAAAAGCAACATGAGTTGCCTTTATTCTTGGTGTCAGCACATGTTTTAATACTGCAAAGCCTAAAAGAGAAGTTGATTCAGTGTGGCCATAAGTTAATTACAAAACACCTCAGCACAATATAATATCCAAATTGTCTTTAAATTTCCAGGAATAGACCAGAATATATTAAAGCCATAATCTCATATATACAGACAGGGCTTGAGGTTTAGAAAGCACTCTTTTTTTTTAATTTTTTTTTTATTTTTTATTTATTTTTTATTCTTATGTTAATCCCCATATATTACATCATTAGTTTTAGATGAAGTGTTCCATGATTCATTGTTTGTGCATAACACCCAGTGCTCCA